GTGAGTTATGGGCTAAATGTGATATTGTAATAACAGTGAGTTTCTCTACCATAGTTACGCACTGTGGATTGAAATAGTAAATTATTCCTAGCAGACTGAATGGGCGATAAGACTGCCATCCACTTTTCCTCATAAAACAAAGCAATAGATAAATAAAGGAGAGCCAACTCACTTAACCCACATGGCTCAGTGCATTGCTAATTATTAACCTGGGTGCAAGACAGGTTCACCCAGCGTGTGGTTAAATCATATTTAATCGAGGTAAATACTAGCCATGTGGACGAGTACCACTCAAGAAAGTTTTTAATCAGCAACGTTTAGAAATCACCCAGTCTAATTGCCATAACTTATTAATAATAATAAATAACCTGTTCTTTTTATGGTCCCTGTCTCTGGAGGACTCAGTGCATTAAAAATCTCTCAATAGTGTGAGTCTCTCAATAGTTATGGGGGAGGGCAGGTAGCCTTGATATGGTCATTATTAACAGAAGAAATTGGACTTCAGGGTTCAGAAAGCAAAGCTGAGCTCCTTTCTCCTTTTCTTCTTCCCGCCTCTGAATTACCATCTTATACATGAGCTTTCATCTATCCCTAGGATGAGAAGGGCTCCAGGGATGGGGATGGGGGCTGGGTAACAGACTTCCTTTGTTCAAGTGAATGGTGAATGATGGGGGTTTGAGGTTTCCTCCCTTGGGAAGTGAGTATGAGCAGAGCTTTGTCTGAAGGAGTTCATTTCCTCTACACAAGTATCCCTGGCATCCTTTGGTCGCAATCTGATTGTGACTGGACTGATCACTGGCAGCTCCAGCTCTGCACTTGCATGATTCCAGTTCCTGTGAGGGCAGAAGAGATGGCACTGTCTTAGTCTCAGGGCAAATTTGCAGCAGCAGATGGGAAGATGTTTGTATAAATTACCTGACTTAACCTTCCCAATACTGTGGCATGAGCTTAAGAATATGTTTGTCTAGGATATCAAGGAAATGTGAGCTATTAAGAGTGTAGCTGATTGACTCCTAAATAATTTTTGTGTTTAGACTGAATGTGGAATAATACACTTAAATTCAAAGCCTTTTAATTTTTATAAATGACTACTCTGGATGGTTAGGGACTTGTGGACAGTAGACTTGACTCCAGAATAGAGGACATTACAAGAATGTTTTTATGGCTTCTATCTTCTGATAGCCTTAATTTTTCAGGAAGGTAAAATGTGGCCAAACAGTACAGAACTATTTTCTTCTCACTTGTTTCTCATTCTTTCGTCCATTTCCAGAAGCCTGAGCTGGATATCTGTTGCATTTGAGAAAAGTGAAATTTTTGAAGAAGGTACAGAAGCCATTATTATGCAGAGCAAAAGTTAAATGATACTAAGAATGGAATGATTTATACCACAGACCACAGAAGACATAAATTTAGAGTGTAAATTACAGGACAAGTCATGTGTAAAATTGTTGCAATATTTAAACTAGCATTTATTAAAACTTACATTTGAATAAAAAGGTGCAAATATAAAAAAGCTGGAAAAGAGTTTTGAAAAAGTCCACAATAGCTTATATAAAAACCAAGAAACTTTTGAGTAATAGGAGATGTGAATAGTAGTCAAGTTGTCTACTAAAGTGTGAAAGTTCACTAAAATGTGAAATAAATAATAGAATCGGAAGGAATAAAGTCACTAAATCTCTGCCTGAGTTTCCTTCTATCAATTGGTACTTCCTAGTGATTCAAATAAGTACTGAATTACTAAGGAAGTTCTGCTTGTCAAAAGCCACGGTGAGGAAGTTGAGTACTCTAAATGGATGTCGAGACGGGATCCGTATTTGAAAGACTAATCTTATTTCACTGATGTTTTTTTTTCCAGGTTGGAAATTTTTGTCTGTATTCATTAGAGAGGAATGATAAATCTCTAATTTGTGTTTTGCTAATAATAGTGACGAGCTTTTGTGCTTCGTTAAGGTTAAATGTGTCTCATGTAGTCTGTAGTCCTGGCACAGCCTTCAACTCCGTGGGTGACCTTGGGGACAATTTCTAACTTATTTGAGACTCAGTTTCCTTCTCTGTAAAAAGAAGGGGTTGAACCAGATGACTAAAATAGATTGCATGCTTTGTTTTCAAACTATTCAAGCAGTCAGGACCCAGTAAGGGGATTAAGACACATTGCTTTTGTCCTCAGGAGCTCATGGTCTAAGTAACTAATTATAATATGAGCTATAATTGCAACAGGAACAAATTACTGTAGGAGCACAGAGGCGGAAACAGTGAAATCCTTCTCTGTGGGGACAGACTTCACAGCGACTTTGACATTTGAATGCAGAGTAGGAAGGCTCCTCCAGGTGTGCAGGCTGGTCAGAGGAGAGATGGTAGACTGTGGGGTCGAATAAGCAAGAAAAGGTGAAAATGGCATATTTAAGGGACTGCACATAGTCTTTCTCTTGATCTGTGGGTGGTGACAGCTTATAGCTGGAACAAAATTTGACCCAATGATGAATCATTGATGCTAGAGAGTACTGTGCAGTATGTACAGTTGGTTCTTTGTATCAAAGAGTATTTGCTTCCCAGGTTCCCTGTGGATACCAAACTCTGCAGATGCCCTGTTCCTTACATCAGATGGCATGATATTTGCTATAAACTACACTCCTGTATACTTTAAATCATCTCTAGATGATTTGTACTACTAAATGCAAAATCTATGTAAAGAGTTGTTATACTGTATTGTTTAGGGAATAATGATAAGAAAAAAAGCCTCATACATGTTCAGTGCAGACACAATATTTTTTTTTAACATTTTCAATCTGCAGTTAGATGAGTCTGCAGAATCAGTACTCATAGATACAGAGGACTATTTGCATAAATTAAGCAGGGTCCAAGTTGTTCTGTAATGGTGCTAATGTAACCTGTTTACATTAATGTAAACACTGGCTTTCCTGAGTGTAGGAGAATGGATGATGGTTTAGCCAAAGCCCTGAGAATTGAGAACTTACAGTCTCTCACCTGTGCCACTGCCGCTGCCTGCATACATTCTTGGGAGTATGTGTATTGTTGCGCATGACCCCTCTCGCGAGGATCATGTGTGTCCACATGTGGAAAGACACCTGCAGCCATAGGTCCTCTGCTTGCAGTCTGTAAGTTGATCTGTGCTATTCATGGGGCCTTGGTTTTTTGTGACCTTGCAGGAACTGATATTTCAGGTGATGACTGAAAATTGGATATTGGTAATGCAGTTCTTAATTTTTAAAATGAAATAACTTTAATGTTAAATTCAGATTATAAATGTAAAGTCTTGTTATTAAGATTAAAATAACACAGAATATTTTTTTTGGTACTGGGAGTTGAATTCAGGACTTTGGCTTGCCAGGCCAGAAATCTTATACATGGTAAAATACCCCAAATTCACCATCCTGATGATAAACAGTATTTCTGTGATCATTGTCACAAATCTCTTCTTATGTAGCCTTACATATACAGACAAGAACATAAATTCGGGACCAGGATTATATGTTACTATTTGCTGTCTGATTTTTTCATTCACAAACAGTCACAGTCTTCAGCCATTTAAATGGCTTCATAATAATCCATTCTGTGAAGTATACAATGGTTTGATTTTCTATCAATGATTAGTGTAGATGAGATCTTGTGTTTTGCCATTATAAACAAAACTGTGATTGACATCCTTGTAAATTTCTTTTATAACTTATGTTTCACTGGATTAAAGTCTTAGAAGTAGCATTGATGGATCAAAGAATGTATATTTAACATGTATATTATATAGTGTATGCATTGTATTATTCAACTGCCTTTTAGGCCTTTTTGCCAACTTATTGTCTGGCCAGCAGAGCAGACAGTAGCTGCTGTCTTGGGGGTGCTGTGTATGTCTCTCCTGGTATCCTCTCTGTCTTAAAGCCATTAAGTGAGAAAATGTGAGAAGATGAGAATGCTTTCGGGGTGATTGAGAGGCACTATTAACAGGACAGGGTCAAGTGCACATCAGAGATGTCCAGGAGTAGCCGGCATGCATACATATGCTTACCAAAAGATATGTATGAAAATGTTCATCACAGTTCTTAATTTGCAACATTGAAATAACCCAAGGAACTACCACACTGGAATGGAGAAGTAAACTGCAGTATAATTACACAGTGAAATTCTTTGTAGCCATGAGAATGAATGATCTACTGTGTGGTACAGTGTGAATGACTCCCATAATTGCTGTCAAGCAACAATGCCAGAAACAGAAGAGAAATTCGGGCTTTATCAGTCCATTTTTACAAAATTCAGTGACAGTCAGACTGTATTTATGCTATTAGAAGTTATGTTAGTGGTAACTCTTGGTGACTTTGGCTTTTTTGTGAGATGTTATTAGTGCCAGAGTGCTTGGCATATAGCATCATCTCCAATATTTCTCTAAAAAAAACAAATAATTAATATTTTTACCTTTCTAACAGACTTTGACCTAGGATTTCCTATGAAGACATGTTTACATGATTTCAATATGCAACTATATTCGTAAGCTCTTTCTATGTGCCATTGAGGTTATTGTTGTTATTTGTAAATTAGTTAGGCAGTTTAGTAGTTCAATCCTGAGCCTCACTTGCTCTACTGTGGCCTCAATTTCCCCATCTATAAAATGAAAATGATAATAGAACCTACTATATAAGTTTATTGTAAAGATATCAGTGTTAATAATGATTTTCTGTGTTTACTGTGTACTAGATATTGTTCTAAACTCTTAAATATGTGACATTACATGTTTACTGTATCCACTATGCTTAACCTATTTTGTGATTTGGGAAGCTGCAGGTCACAAAGTTCGGTAAGTGTTGAGCTAGGATTTAGATCTGGGAAGTCTTCTTCCACAACAGCCTCCTGCATTAAAGGGAATATTGTATAAAGGGTGCTTAGCATTCAGCATGTATTAGCTGATTATCACATTATCCTTTTCAACATTATTAACAGTATTTTTCCCATTCTCTCCCCTCCCTTCCCCCACATTTTTTCCCTCCTGGCAGATGTTTTTCAGCAAGGTAAGTAAGTTTTATTGCTTTGTGCTTTCTCTTCCATGGCTGCGCTCTTAATGTTCTGTGCCTTTGCTTTACCTGTGGACATGTCATACGGACTTTAGGGATCGCTATAAGGACACTGATCTGGAGAGTCAGTGGACCTTTGTTATCTGGTCTCTGCTTCTTCCTCTGAACCAAGCTTGGGGAGAGCTGGGAAATTAGTACAGGGGTGAATGGGCAAGGTCTATGACTGGGTCCCAGCAGGAGTGGAGGACATTGTATAACTAGTGAGACTGGTGAGGAGCAGGTATCTCTGGTGGTAGCTCAAGCACAAGGTACTTGTCCTCAGGGCTCTTATGTCAGGGCTGGTGAGTATGTTTTTGTGTTTTTGCTGAGCAAACACGTCTCTGCTATGAAGGTGTGGCAAGACCATGGTCACACTTTTCCCTTCAACCCAGTTATGCTTCACAACCTAAGTGAGTTTGCGATTGCAGGCGAGGTTGTTCAGTCTCATTTGTTTTTCCAGCCAAAATTGTGTGTTCTAGGAGCAGGAAACCACAATTTAAGTCCACATGGTGACTTGGGGCCTGTGTTTTAGCCTCCAGTTAGGATACAAAGCCACTGTGCTCTTGGAGGCAGGAGAGTCATGCATGGGTCATGAACTCATGAAGCATTCTAGACACATTAGAGGGGAACTGCATTTTCATCCCAACATGAAACCACTGGGTGGAAGTGGCAGGTCTTCTGTGTTTGTATTCAAACCGAGCAGTGTGTTTGTAGCAAACGTCTGCTGTGTCTTTCTGGGAACCAAAGGCTGGCTTAGAATAAAAGTGACTAGTTTAAAAATACAACCAGCCATTCCATAAATAGCTTCCAAGTACTCTTACAGGCTTGGTGTTTCCCCAACTGTTATTTCACCCCAAACATGCAGTACATGGTATGGAGAATGTCTGTTCTCCGATAGAAGCACAGTTGTGAGTAACAATGAGGGTTCTGTTGTATTGTCTTTTAAGAGTCTGGAGTCATAGACCTACTTTTATAAATAATTCATAAATCCCAACAAGCTATAAGTAATAAGTTCCATTTGGCTAGAGACTAAGAGATGAGCAAAATTGAAAAGGTGCCATGACTGTTCATGTAATGAAAGTGCTGCTGTCAGGACCCATTGCTGCTGCGAGTTTTTTTTTTCTTGACAAATTGGGGGTGCAGTGAGCCGCTCTGGGAGGAAAATTTTTTTTCTATAAACTGAAATGCAAACACCACCTAATGCTGAATTACATTTCTCTCCTTGAAACACAAAATGCTTAAGTTGGGAAAGTCTTTCTAGAATATGTATTTTGATGCTCCAGGCAAAGGGGAACTAGAAAAGTCTTGTATCCAATTTGGCTTTTCTACATACAGTGATGAGTGTTCCTGGGTGCTGTAACTGGTATAAAAATGGCTTATCAGACTGCCTGTGTCAAATTTGCCTCCTTTTTCCATCGGTCATGCCATTCGATAAATGGGATTTGCCTGTCAGTAGCAATGATATGCAGAGCAAAAGTTATAATCATCCACAAATCACTGGCTATTGAGACTTAATAGCATCTGCCAGAGACGGAAGCCAAGAGCTACCTATTGCCTTGTGTGATGGTGGGCGGCAGCTCCCCAGTAAGATATTACTAGAATTTCAATGGGGAGAACTGAATTTGTCTTTGTGAATTATTTATATGGTTCTGGCCCTATAGGACTGCTTCATATGGAGAAGCATTCTCAGAAATAAGGGTTGCAAGTTCATCATCTGGCACTCCCTCCTGACCTTTGTGTTTGACCATTCTGCCTATGAAAATAATGCTCCATACAATGTTCTGTGTCTTATAGACAGAATCTCAAACATTGATCTCTATAACATCTTCTGGGCTGGAAACTCTGTGCTAGAATCGTGTCTCTAACCTGAAACATGGAGGCAGTGAGTGGTGCTAGAAATAAGCAGAAAAGTACATGATTTCAGATGAACAGACACCATTCAGTTATCTTCTGAAGCCTCTCTTATAGACAATGACAGCTTGGAGTGGCCCTGCTCTCCCTCTGAAGTGTGCCCCGGGCATCCAGAACTTGCTTGCTTTGGCTTGGACATGGTGTTGCGCAGGTAGCAAGGTGCTGCTTTGCAAATGTGTGCTTCCGGCAGTGAAGGGAGGAGGCCTGTCTGCCAGGAGGAGTGCTTGCATGTTTGTGCTGCTGTGCACTGTGGCAGGCAGAAGAGGGAAGCAGGCTTGCAGTTGACAATATCAGACTCTCTCAGAGGAAACACAAGTTATTTCCTCTGGATCATATTATCTTTTATTTCACTACAGATCAATCTTGTTACAGTAGGTGACAGCATAGCAGCTACTGCTGGGTTTTTCTTCATTATATCCCTGGTGCATGAATGGGGAAATGTGTTCCTGCAATAAAGTGTTTTTGTTCTTTCATCTATAAATGCCACTTACTGTGGTGTTGAGACCACAGCGTCTGAGGGCAGTCAAGGGCCGGTGAGTCTGCAACTGGGCCTTTCTAAATAGAAATCTAGGGTCACAAGGCCATGTGTTCAAGGAGGCTTAACTGACCTACATCCCCCATCGTGCATGGAGCTCAGGAGCCATTGGGTAGCTCTCCGAAGTTCCAAAGTGCCATACAGTTGCTCTTCACAACTTCAAATGCAATTTGAAATACTATGTGTGCACATGTGTCTAGAATCTCAAGCTTTAGAGCACTTTTATGCCAATCACTAGAGTGCACACGCTAAATCTCCCCAACCCATTCATGCTTCATTTGAAGTTATTGAAGCACCTTTTGAATGCTCATCCACAGACTAAACCTTGATTCTGAAATCGAACAGAAACCAAGCGAGTGCGTTAGAAATCAGAGCAATATCACTCAGTAGAGCATTTTAAAACCTAAGTGGGTGTAGTATAAAGATTTTACCATTGAGTTAATTTTCTGTGCACTGTCAACTGAAGTCCCTGAAAGACTTAGACAAAAAAGGCAAAGCCTTTCCTTCTTCTCGGTTCTAACCTGGAGTCATCATCTTGCTCATTCATGCTCCTCCAGTTCAGGTGGTTTGTAATATATCTCAAGCACAGAGCACAACACGTGTATCCTGCATCTGGTAAGTATGTGTCAGGCACTTTCTGTACCTTGAGGACATGGAATTGAACAAGAATGGTAAAAGTTTTCTTCTCATGCAACTTACAAATCTAGTGTGGGAGCATTTGATAGCCAAACATGCAAAGAAATTAAACAAGATAAATTCAGAAAGAATAATGAAGATACTTTTTAAGGGTGATAATGCTGTTGGCACGGAAGGCCATGTTAGAGGTGTGGCCAAGAACTGACTTCATGGATCAGTTATTGGACAATCTAGGAGAATGGCAGACAGGAATGAAAAGGTAAAGTAGGTGTATCATGGAGTGTGGCAAAAGCGAGCTGCATGGAGTTACCAAAAAATGAGGAAGATATGGAGTTTGTGGACTGGAGAAGGGCTGTGGTTTTTCAACAGAAGAACGGTGTGGTCTCATTCTGACTGCTGTAAAAATGCACAATGATGGTGTGCGATACATGAGACCAGGACCTAGGCAGAGTGCTGATTGGACTAAGGTCCTATCTGTTGCCCTTCCTGAATCTCTACTCTCTTGGGCTATGAAACAGGAGATGATGCCAGCTTTTTGCTTACTTTATCTTGGAAATTCTTAAGCTTATGACTCACACTTTCTCTTAGACTTGTCAAGTTATACTCTACAGAGATATCACTGAAATGTTTCTATGTATGTCTTTAGCTTTTAAAAGCCACTACTCTCCAGGGCATACATACATATGTATATTGTCTATATTACATTTTACACACATATATTTTCTCTAGTGTACACAAATATTATAGTAGGCACACCACAATTTGGGGTTCAATGTATGCATGATACAAGAAGCTGAAGATGGAAAATGTTATCAGGCTTGCATTGGTTTTGTATATACTGAACATATGCAGACTTACTTTTCTTGTCACTATCATTTAAATAATAATGTAACAACTATTACACCACTTATATTGTTTGAGGTACTATGAGTCATTTAGAGATGATTAAAACATACAGGCAATGTATATGTGTTTAGTTTGTATGCAAATGTGTATATATATATATATATATATATATATAATTTTATGTAAGGGGTTTGAGTGTTCTTAATTTTAGCTTCTTCAGGGAGTTTTGGAGTCAAACTCCCACGGATACCAGTCAACGATGGCTGTCTATGAGAAAAAATATCTCATGCTTGTATTTTTTACTTTTGCTGAGTATGGCATAAAGGAAGAATAACAAATTCTATCATCTCCAGGGCGTTTGGCAACAAGGGAAGAAGTGCTTGCTGTGAGCAGGACTGTGGTCCCTTGAGACCTCATGTCCAGTTGTCTGGGGCAGTCACTCTGCAGCTCCACAGATAAGGTCAGGTAGTAGTCACAATGAACCGATACCCATGATTCTCAAGAGCAGCCAGAGATCTGGGAGAGTATGCAAATCTTCACAATTTTTAAGTTCTTAATAAAGCTTATACAAACTAAACCTAACCGTGACTGGAAAGTCCTCTTTTCTCCAATCAGTAGCCAGTTCTCAGAGGATCGCTGTTTTGCTTGCTGCAGGGCTGCTGTCTTTGGTGTTTTGCCTTCTGGCCTCAGTTTTTCACCTGTAAAATGTGAGAGTTGAAAAGACCTCTGACACTGTTGGCTTCCTACTGGTGTTCTATCTTGAGAAATTTTAAGTGGACTGGAGTTAATAGAGTTAGAGCTATGTTCTTAGTGGAAGTTTTGGCCATTCTCTGGAGGACCAGGGTGAAAGCAGAAGCTTCCCTAGTGGCTGAGAACTAAGGTTTAGAAGTGCAGCTAGCTGATGCACATGGCTGTTTTAAACATCAGCTCTTCCCCATGTGGATGAATACTGGAATTCACAGTACATGCCAATACTTTTATTAAACTGAAGAGCACAGTAAATTATAGTTCGTTGCTGACGACTGAGCCA